TCTGGAGTTCCCATAACTCCGTGGGCGAGTACTTGAGAGTCTCCACCCACGCCCAGAACATGTCCTCACAAGAACTCCATGTGGGACAGTTCTCGGGCATAACCCAGGGGTATCCCCAAACAGGATAGAGACCACCCCGGGTCTCGGGCTTCTTACGACAAGTCGTGAAGTCCTTAAGGGGAATGCGGTGTGGCGCGAGAAGCACACACCGAGCAGCCTCCACGTTGTCGACGAACAACTGTTCTTTCTGAACAAGGGCTCGTTCATAGATGCCCCTAGAAGTGTGGCCGCCCACAAGGCCACGAGGAGCGACGAGAAGCTCTAAGAAGAGGTCAGCCCCAGAGCTCTCCTCGGGAGGCCAATACCCTCTTGAGTTGATGGCAGCTCCCTGGCTGACGGGTGCCGCCACCGAACCCCCACGCACACGCTGGGCAGCTTGGAAATCCTCCTGCTGCTGGTCGAGGTCATTCGAGACCTCCCGGGGCTCAACAATGGCACCCTCCTCTTCCTCTTCTTCCTTCTTCTCCTCCTCTTCATCCGAGGAGCCGAAGAGACTCTGATAGGAGCGTCGAGTCTCCTTCTCCTCGCGGAGTGGAGACTTAGAGGCGGTACGCTTCTTTGAGGGCTTGGCGCCTTCGGCTTTAGAGGCCTTAGCGCGCGCAAGACCCTCGGCAAGCGGCAAGCGACGTTTGCGAGGACTCCCTTCCTCATCGCCACCGGCTTTGGATGTGCCCTTAGCCTTAACGGCCGGACTCTCAGAGCGCACACAGGTCCTGGGACTGTGATCACCGTGATCACTAGCGGACGACTGCACGCTGTCTTCTTTGTGCTCACTGGGCACTGGGCTGTGCCCTCCCACAGAGCCCGCAGGAGCATCATGAGTGCTCTCGAACTCGGCATCGTCCTCACTGCCCGAGTTGAACTCATGTTCTACGAACCGAGGGTTCGGACGATTGTCTGAAGACGAGGGCGACGGACTGCGGCGCCTGCTTGCGCGCTTGTCCGCAGCCGCGTCACCCGAGGATCCGATCGCCTCGGAGGCCACCTGAGTAGCCTCCTTGAGTGCAGAGCCTTTGCCGTGAGGCTTAGTGCTCTTGGCCTGCGCCTTACCGGCTGCAGCCTTGGAGCGTGTCTTAGCACCGCTCTTAGCAGTGCCACGAGGCATGTTAACGGTCGAAGTGGAGACCTTGACGAAGAGCGCACAGGTTGCTGCTCGAGGCTCTAACTGTAAAGTGAGCCTCCGCCGCGCTCGCGCGGCCGAGTCGATGGTTTTCGACTTTGAGAATGAGAGTTTGTGACGAACATCTCTTCATTCTGATTGGTCGGTAAACCGAACCTAAGTGGGGGAGGATGTAACGGGGTACGTAGCACTAAGTGTACCCTGGTTACATGAAGTGTGACACTTCACACTTCAGGAGTATGACATGTCATACTCCGGGATATTTGGTACAAGGTACCAAGGTCATTCAAAACCAACCATTGGTTAAATGACATTGCATTACTATAGGTAACTGATAGTTTGTATTAACCACAAACTTAACCTACCTATAAATATACTCAGTTTACAATCTACCTTATTTAGGTCACTTTGCTCTCTTTAATTAAAGAGGGGACCTGTGAACTGCCGTTCACTGAGAGTTTGTATACTCTCGGAAGATAACTTCCTCTAGCGCAAGGTTGTAACGGGGTACAATCCAGTGTGCCCCATGTTACATAAAGAGTGACCCGTCACTCTTGTGGACACCTGGTACACGGTACCAGGTGCTCTCGGAACCAGTCAGTGCATGACTACTTAGCTTCACTATAGGTAACCTCTAGTTTGTATGAGACCCAAGCTTATCTTACTTATAAATACATCAGTCTTAAATCTACTCCTCTAAGTAGCAAACCGTTCCCACTGAGGCCGGGAACACGTGGACTTACGTTCACTCGGGTAGTTAATACCCTTAAGCACTTCCTCTGTGCAAGGTGCTGTGTGACCCCGTCACACTTGGTAGCACTAGTAGTCAATCCAACACCATCGCGGTTTATTACAATCCTTATCTACCTAAGACCTGCTATCAATTACTTACAGGATTTGCGTCTCCGTGGCGTACCTTGTGCACGCTTGCTTCACATCAACTACCGGCTGCGGCCCTATGGCCCAGTCGGTTTTGCGGCCACGAATTCGTACTTAAGCGAATCGGAATTTTCCGACGCGCCGGGGTTTGAACCCGCAACCTCCCGATCAGAAGCCCAGTGTTTAACCACTGCACCACCTGACCGGTTGGGGAGTTTGGCTGGGGCGGCACATCTGTTAAATGATAACACAGGTGTCCTAAGGTGAGCTCAATGAGAACAGAAATCTCATGTAGAACAAAAGGGTAAAAGCTCACTTGATTTTGATTTTCAGTATGAATACAAACCGTGAAAGCGTGGCCTATCGATCCTTTAGTTCTTTTGAATTTTAAGCTAGAGGTGTCAGAAAAGTTACCACAGGGATAACTGGCTTGTGGCAGCC